CCCAGGTTGAGTGGTTTCCTGTCCGGGCTCCGAAGCACAAAACTGATTGCAGTGATTGTACTCTTAGCCGTGACTTTCCTGGGACTTCTTTGGGGTGTCCCCTCAGAACCTGTGGTACTTTGTCTAGAATAATCAGCAGGGCTATCTTTGTTCATTACAGACAAAAATAACTGTCTTAATGGACTAAAACAACTTCAAACGGCTCACCAGGCCCCTGCCATTCTCCAGATTCTCCTGGGTTCCAGAGTGCACCCTCTGACCTTGAGTATGTGCTCACTGCTCCCCAGACTCAGATGTGGCAGCCAGAGGCCTCGAGAGTGGAGGGTGGCCGGGGAAAGGCTGCAGCGTGGATCCTAGTTAGTCAGGAGGTGATGAGGGGCTGGCCAGGGCACGGCAGCGGAGACAGAAAGCAGAGGTGCAGGGGACTGGACTGAGCTGGGCTGGGCTGGGCGGGGCTGGGCTGGGAGGAGGAGGAGCCTGGAGCTTTCTGACTTGGGAAGACAATGCAGGCAGTCAGAAGGGAGAGGCGGCTGGGTGGGGCAGGGATGCCGAATTCCATTTGAGACCCGTGGGTGTTCGAGGCGCCTCTGGGACATCCAGGGCAAGTGTCTGGTGGGCAGTGGCCTGGATGCTCAGGCTGGAGACGTGAATGTGGGAGGCATCCTACTGCTGATGTCCGAAACTGTGCGTGCTGGGGAGAGGGAGAGGCAGAGGACGTCCCCTGGGGACTCTCCACGGGGAGGCAGGCGGAGGCAGAGAAACCAACAAGTCAAAGTAAAGGACGATTAGGTCACACCCCCTTCTTACAGCCAAATGATGGCAAGTTTCTTAAAATCTCACCTTTTTTTCTTCAATTTGTACAAAATAATTTTCTTAATGGAAATAATGGCTTAATATTTCCCTCAAATAATGTAACAGGACCACATCTCTTTGCTAGAGAAAAAAATATGTGTAACTCTTTTTCTTGAATGCATTTGTACGTAAGCAGAATATACTTCATAAAGGAAGTAGCTAGAATAAGTCAGCTGTTTGCCAGAGAAGTTTGCCTTTCTCCTGTTGGTCGTGGTGAGCATAGGCAGTTTGTTAACCTTGCCGATGCGCGACCTTTGGAAGCCTCCGGGCACGTGGTGGGGTGGACCAGACGAAGGCGCGTGGCAGGGGCGCCTCGTCCACTGATGCTCCGTCCCACTGAGAGATGATGAATGAGCGTGGGCTCAGGGACCTGGCAGAGTTGCTTACCAATCCTCTATATCACTTCCTGTCTGTGTAGTTTGGGGCAAGAAAACTAGCCTTCCTGCACTTCAGTATGGCAAGAATCAGCACCCCATGGAATGGTCGGGAATGCAGTAGCGGATAGAGGGTGCCTCGCGGAGTGTGGGGCACATAGTAATGTCTGCTCGGCCGGCGGTGGCCCCCACGCTGGGACGCTGGCTCTGTCCCTGTGCACACCTGCGTTCACTGCACATGTCCGGGATGTGGTTGGAGCTAATGCACGTGAAGAAGACAGGTTCACGTCATAAAGCTTTTCTGTGCATAATGACTGTTGACACCCCATGTTCCCTCTTCTGTGTCCTGTCCTGAGTGGCGGTCTAAAAACATGTTACTGACCATTCCCAGTGATGCGGGTTATTTCAGGGTCCCAGTCTCAGTGACTAAAGCAGTCAGAACCGGCAGGAGTTCCTCATCTGTGTTGTTCTACTGCCAGTGGGTGGGCAGAAGGCTGTAACGTTCGGAACTTCCATGGCAAGCTCTTAAGTGTTCACTTAACTTCTCTTGTAATTGGGAACAATAGCCAAGTACCACAACTTACAGGCTGACTAACCCAAATCTTACTTAACAGGCTCAAGCCTGAAAATGAAGAGAGATAAATACGACACTATTGGTTTTAAATTGGAAAGTGTTGTAGCAAATTGTGGTCATAATTCATAATCACTGTTTTGGAATTTTTCCTCAGGGTAAAATAATGAATTAAGCCCTATAATATCAATTTAATTCATTATTTCACCCACAGGAGCAGTTGTTACGTGTCCCAAAATGGTTGCTGAGTGTTATGTGATTTGCACACTGAATTTCCATTTATAACTCCTGATGCAGGTATATTAACGTTTGAGTTACTATAAGCAGATGTTTTGCGGTCAGGCTGAGTGGGACCAGATTGTTTTCTGATGTTACATAGAGAAAATACCTCCTTTGTAAGCCTGCAGTCAGTTTACTCGCCTCAAGTGAAACCACCTGCATTTATTGATGTATCCCTTAGGATAATTTTTAAAGCCATGCGCATGACTTCTGTTCCTAAATCTGCATGAAAGGTGTCCCTAGCCCTCGTCCCCTGTGGTAGGCCGCTGGAAGCACCAGGTGGGTGGCTGGCAGGGCTCGTGATCTGGGCCCAAACTCAGCTCCTGGCAAGAACTGTTGGTAGAATCTGGGCACCACGCAGCCGAGGGCTGAGGTCCACACCCTGGGGAGGTTTCAGGTTCGCAGGGGTAGCGGTGGGGATGGAGGTGAGGGTCACAGAGCCATGTGAACGCAGGCGTTTGGCATAGATGAGGCGCATCTGAAGAACCGGAGAGGTCCTGGGCCATGGTGGTGGGGGCAGACTGCTCTCTAGGCCGAGCCCCTGTGGGTCCCAGCCCCTGTGGGTTCCTAGTCTTTGGTCCAGTTAGCTGCTCTTGCCTCTTTGCAATGCAAACAACTTCTTGTGGCTTCATCTTGTACCCAAAGGCCTTTTGTAGGAGTGATTTTCTTTTTAAAACTATAGTAAAGAGGATTAGATTAGAAAAGGATTTCTGTAACAGTGTATTCACAGTGTGGATTTGTATCCCTTAAAGCAGATAATAAACCCTTTTGGGGCCCTCTGTTTGGAAATCTGACTTCTAAATGGAATGAGGCAGTTAATACTGCCTAACACGCATGTAACACACAACACATGCCAAGTACGGCCCTGACCGCTTGAGTGTTTATTAATGTAGCCACCCCGTGTGGTAGGGACTGTCGCTGGCCCCATTTTACAGCGAGCTCCCAGGTCCTAGGCCTTTAAATGTGGTGCCTGCCGCCATGCTTGAGCGGTCAGGGGAACTTGCTCCAGACATCCATCTGTGTTGAGCGAAAGCACTGCATTTTGGTGGGAGACCAAACAGTATGGAGTGGAAGGAGCCACGGCAGGAGGCCCACACAGACAGGCTGGCTGCTGTCATGCCTCTCGGGCCCTGCTTGTCCACCTTCCTTGTCCTGCAGGCCTCGTGTCCCGCTTTCCAGTGCCTCACAGAACCGGGGGCCCTGTGACAGGCAGGCTGGTCTTCCTGGGCTGGGGAGGGGGGGTGGGGGGGTACCCCTGTCCTTGGTGCTGACTGTGGAGACCAGGCCTCCTTGGCTACTGCACCTTGTGAGGTCCCTGTCCCTCTGAGGGACGGATGCCACACCAGCCAGCTGCCAGCGAGCCCCAGTGAATGCTGTGTGAGTGCCCCAGATCCCGCTCAAGTCACAGTGCCCTCTAAAATTTGAAACCAGAGAGGTGGAAGGGGCCTTCAGAATATTTCATGACTCATTTTGCGTATCTGGAATCTCAGTCCCAGGAGATTAATAATAGTTAACATTTAGTGGGGGCTTTGTATGTGCCACGCACTCTGTACGCAACTTTACATGCATTATTAGCACGTCTTTCTCTAGTAAGTACTGTCTCCGTCCCATTTTAGTGACAAAGACAGAGGCACAGAAAAGTTACCTGCCCAAGGGCATATAGCTTTGAAGGTAAAGGAGCCATCATCATCCCTCCCCACCCTCGGCATCAGGCAGGAAAGGATAAGAATCACCACGTCTGTTCACAAAGAGGCCCTGTCACATGACAGGCCGGACAGAAGCCAGTGACTGGTCCAGGGGTCAGTCACCCCAGGAGTTCCCACTGAGGCCACAGGGGCTGGCTCGCTGAAGTCCCGGGCGTGTCCACCAACTGCACCTGCCGCTCCCTGCCTTCCTCTGCAGAGGAGGGGTGAGGTGTACAGGTTGGCCATCAAGACAGCATCGGAAACCACCCTGAAATGTGGCACAGGTGAATGTTGTCAGCGGCCTGGCCATTACCTGATCTGCCTGAGCCCTGCCAGACCCTATTAAGTGGGTCCCTCGCACCTGGCTATGGGAAAAACAGGTGATGTTTTTGAAGACACAGCTCCATTGTAACTCCCGCCCCCAAATGGGGGCCGCTTTCTGTAAAGGTCCTGGCCACGCCAAACTCTCCCCTCAGCCCTGTCACCGCTTGATCCCTCGAGGCATTTGTTTCTTTTGCTCCGCCCCCCTTTGCTCACCCCCACCCCACCCCCACCCCCAATGGGTACTTCTCAGGTGGCATTAAGAACCCATAGGTTGAAAGGAAATCAGAGCCAGAATCTGATCCTGCTGCTGACAGGAGTCCTTCAGAAGTAACAGCTCCCCAGAACCCCGAGAGGGGGAGTGGGTGCCTCATGCCCAGAGCTGGGGAGGGGACAGAGAGGGCTTTGTTCCGGGGGACGTTCCCGCAGTAAACCACCTCAAACCCCTAGTCTTGCTTAGGAGTAGTTTAGAAAGCATAAAAGGTCTGAGGATTTAAAAGGACAGGGCCGTATTTTGTCATTAAAAAAATAAGAAAATGCCCCCTATCCCAGCCCCCTGAGAAAAACCCTGAGTAATAACCTGGGAGAATTAGTGAAAGTAAATGAGCACCTACATGCTGAAGTAATTGTTTTTTTCCTTAAATTACTGGGCTCTGAAGTAACTGTTGAGTTGACAGCTAACAGGGCTGATAGTTTCAAACTCAAGAGTGAAGTTTTTATTCCCTTAAATAGCCTGATTTCATAATTAGAAGGGCCGTCCTGGTACTGTGTCAGCATCCTGCCCGTGCTTGAGGCGGCCCAGCAGAGCGCCCCCCGCCGGCCCTTCTGGAAACTGACGGCCCACCCATTTTCTGACCCAGTAGGTCTGGGGTGCAGTGGAGGCCCCTTTGTGTTTTGACAAGCAGGGGGACTGACAACCGGTGCTCTGCAGTGTGGTAGGCCCTGCATTGTGCTGAGGCCAGAGGAGAAAGCCCCACCCCAGGCGGGAAGACGGCCCCCCAACAGGGGCAAGAAGTGTAGCGATGGATCAAGTGCAGGGGAGTTTTATATTATAAAAGACAGGAGATGGTAGAAGGTGATTAAATCTGCTTTGGTGCGTCTGGTCACTAGGAAGGTGCCTCCGCTGGGTTTCGAGGAAACAGTCCGAGTCCCCCCGCGGGGTGGGGGGTTGGTGCGCGGCGGCCTCCATCAGCTCTCAGCTAGTCTGTGCAGGAGTGAGGCAGTGGGCTGCAGGAGAAGGCTGCGCCTCAGCGCTGATCTACAGGGCCACGGACAGGGCCAGCCTGGTGCGGTGTGACGTGACCAGCATCTTAGATCACTCTGACGGAGGGGTGGGGGGCAGATTGGAGGAGAGTGAGAGGTGATGGGGGCAGAGCACAGGCACCAGGGAGGGAATGGATGCAGCAAGGGTGCGGGTGAACTGGCAGACAGGACGGGACGGTGCCCGCGTGGAGGGCTGGGGGGGGGGCTGGGAGGGGAGGGGGGCAGACGGAGCAGAGAGTGAGCACTGCACATGCCCTCCCTGTGAAGTCAGGGGGCGACTGGGCAGGGAGAACGTGAGTCCCTGCACGTGACCTGCTCAGCACGGTGTCTGCCGTGACTTCCCTAACCGTTGTTTTCCCTCCATTGTTGTTTCACTGAGCAAGTCTGGCTGGAGCCTCAGTTGGATCGCAGAGCCTGGGAGGCCCAGAGCTCACCTCCACCCGTCCCCCCACACAGCGCCTGGCGCAGACCGTGCCTCCGAAAACAGCTGTGGACGGGACTGCCGCTTTAGTAGATGTGAAGGAAAGAACGCGCGTGAGGCCTTCTCGGACTTGGGTTTGACGCGTTCCCACCCTCAGGCAGCTCCTAGTCAAGGGGGAGTTTGGGACATGCACAGCTTATTACCGGGCTGAAAATGGCTAACGTCCTGAGAGATCTTCACGAGGTTTCACAAGGTGCTAGGCCAAGGTTAGAAACTGGAGAAAGAAGTTCCAGCTCGGGGGCCGGGATAGGTCACGGAGAAGGTGGCGTTCGAGCTGGGGCTGTGGGACGTGGGCCCCCGCCCGGGGCTGAGTACACGCTCAGGCAGTGGAGTGGGCGTCTGAAGGCGGGGTAGCGGGTCCCGCAGTGAGGAGGAGATCTGGCCCCGCGGCACGGCGAACCCTCAGACGTGCCATCCTCTTGTGGGGCTGGTGTCAAGTTGGCAGGAACGGTGGGGGCAGCAGCTGTCTGCTCCGAGTTTATGTGGCTCCGATGGGCTCCCGGGTGTCAGGGTGGCGCCCTCACCCAGACTGAGTCCTGAAGCCCGATCGCCAGCCTGAGCCCAGGAACACAGCGCTTCGGGCTGCTGGGCCTGTGTTCCTGTCACGGTGGACTGGCCAAGGCGTGGCTCTGAAATGAGACTGCCCTGCCCTCAGCTGAGCCGCTGGAGCTCAGTGCCCCACTTAAGACAGTGCCAGAGGGAGACAGAGCAGCAGGAAGGACGGCAGGCGACCCGCCCCACCCCGCCCGCACCTTCCCAGGCGTCACGTCGGCTCACAGGCAGGGAGAAGTCCGGCCACAGGGATGTTTTCACACTGATGCCGCATCCCTCCACGCCAGAAGGAGGGACTTGGTGGCCACCCTCGGAGGGCAGATCGAAGATTTCCGAGCAGACGCCTTGCTAGACTCTTGCCTTTGACCGTGTTGCTTTTGAGTATGACGTCACCCTTAGTGTGTTTGTCTCTTCACAGTTTGAACAAGAGAACCAGCGCCTAATTGGTGAGATGAACAGCCTGTTCGATGAAGTGAGGTATGTATGTGGTTCCTAGGAGCTGATGGCCTCAGCTTTTCTAGGAACTGGGAACTTTTCATTTACTTCGATGGCCAGGCATCCCCTTGTGGCCCTGGCCACGTGCACCCCCCTCAGCCATTCGGGGTCAAGGCAGCTGCCCAACTTCAGTGACTCCCCTTAACCTGCGGGCCCTTGGGAGGTCACCCCCTCTGTGCTGCCTCCAGGCTTCCAGTGACCGCAAGTTGCATGGTTAGGGGCTGTTAATTTCATCGCTCCCGGGTAAGGGGGCGGGCCTTGTGAGGGATGGCTGGCCAGGTGCAGCCTCCTGCATATGGCTCCGCTGGGGTCCGTCTGCCCCCTCAGCAAAGGGGTCGGCAGCGTGGAAGGAGAGTGGCCGTGCCCACGTGAGCCATCGCTGCCCCGCCGTCTAGGGGAGGCACGTGGGTGGGGCCTGTTTCCCCGAGAGTGTCTGGAGCATCTGAAAGGAAGGCCTGGGCTTTGGCAGGGAAATTAAACCCGCTGTGCTGTGAGCTCATCCAAAAGAAAGTGCGTCCTGACGCCATACCCACAGCCCCCGGGGACTCTGATGGCACCTGTGCTCCTCTGCGGCCTCTGCCCTCGCTCTGTGGGCCTTGCGGTCCTTGCTCCGAGATTCAGTCCCCGCCCGCCTCACTTTTCCTTCCCACACCCGGAAGCACGGGAGGAGCGGCGGCCGGCTCCCCCGACAGGCTCAGCCCCTGCCGCCCCCATTTCTAGACCCGTGCCACCCCCCAGCCCACGCCCGGGGCGCCCTTGCTGGCCCTGAAACAGCGAGAAGCTCAGACGCTTGGTTTCTGAACCCAGATACGTTTTCAGACAGAACCGGAGGACTTTTCCTTTCGCCGGGAAGTTGGTTTGGGTGGCAGCACCCTGCCCCTCGACCTCCTGGGCGGTAACGACGTTGAGTGGTCGGCACACACTGGCGTTCTGAGTCTCCGCCGCGTTACCATGGTTACCGGGCCGGGTACGGGCCTTAGCATTCCAAGGCTGCCTGTTGCAACCAGGGGTGCAGACTCCGAGGCAGGGGCACCGCGGGTCAGCTTGCAGGGGAGGGCTGGTTCCGCAGTGCAGCGTGCCCCCTAAGCGAGAGACTTCAGAGGAGAGCCAGGAAGTGCAATGCTGGCCTCCTCCTTCCTGAGCCTGACGTGGTGCCCCCCCACGAATGATGTGGTGTCCCCTCCCATTTCTCACTTACGTGGTCCATTTAGAAATGTGTAACACTCCTGCTAGGACCACCACCTCCTAATAGTTGTGTGTAATTTTTTTTTTCTTTAATGAAGGCAAATCGAAGGGAGAGTGGTTGAAATTTCCAGGCTCCAAGAGATATTCACAGAGAAGGTTTTACAACAGGTAAGAAAAAAAAAATTACGATTTAAGGTTTAGCTAAAAAGAATCTACTGTGACATCTACTGTGACATCAGGGTGCTTGTTCTGAGGTTGCCTGATCCCTGCAGCCATGTGCCCCAAGCCGCGTGGGTTCGTACAGCTCCTCACGTGAGGGCCTCCTGACCCCCCGGTGCAGCCTCTGTGCGGGGCAGGGAGCTCTCTGCACCTGACCCACTGCTGGCTGGCCCAGGCCAGACTGGGTGTGGTGGCCCGTGTGTGCAGTGACACCCACAGAGGAGGGAGTTGGGTAGATCTTCCTTCCGGGTGCCTCTGAGCTAGTTTTCCCGTCTGCAAACGGAGTGGCCCTCGCAGGGCCGTCGTGAGGCTCGGAGATAACCCGCAGGAAACACCCAGCACACCTGGCGGGTAGCAGCCTGTCAGTCGACAGTGTGACTTAGGGCTCACACTTGGCCCTCTCGGAACGCCAGGTCCGTGCCACCTCAGGTGTCCCGTCCACACAGGAAATAGGGTTGTTCTCTGAAGAGGATTTTCATGTTATTTCTTCCTGCCTCCAGTTCTGAAACTCATCCGGCCAGTAACTGGCAAAACTTTTAGGGACCCGATAAATTTATCCTTCTTTTTAGCATCCACAGACCGTGGAACGGTTTCAGAGTCAAAATCATTTCTGCTGCATTGTGTTAAACTGGCCCAGTTGGCCTAAGACCCTCCCGCCCCCACAAAACCTGCCCGAAACCTCACAACCAGAGTCGAATCGCTGTAAATTTAGGTATGTGCAGTCTGACGGAAAGTTCGGGATCACGAGTTACCCTTTCTAACTACATTGAAGGACCAATTTAAGCGTGTATGTGCTAAGCCTCCACTTAGAAGCCTGATGGCTGTCACTTCAGCCTCCTGACCCATAAAACAGCTAAGTCAGCTGTCCCTGTCAGAGCACACGACTTGCTTCCAGGGACAGCTCAGAGTGGCAGGAGAGCTCAGAGGCCACGTTGGGTCACACACTGGCTCCGATCCAATCCTGACTTCCAGTGTGTCAGGTGACCTGGGCACCCCAGCCACACTGCCCTCTTCAGACTGGGCAGATGTTCCCCCCGCACTCTCAGGGCTGGGGCTCGAGGTTCCTGACGCACTTCCAGCTCGTGGCAGGCTCTCAGTACACGGGAGCTGATGTTTTTACGGTTTAGGTTTTCTTTTTTTTTTTTTTTAAGAGAGACACAGATGGTAAGACACGAAGCGCTCCCCTGAAGCTAGCGTGCATGTCTGAAAGCACACGCATCTGGAAGCTCATGTCTCTGGATTTCATAAATACGCGGGGGACCAGAGGGAAGCCCCTGGCATGCGGTGGCTGCTACGTGTTGGCAGCTCTCGCGTTTGTCCCTTCTGGCCGGCAAGTGGCACAGGAGGTAGCAGCTGGGGGTGGAAGGGCAACAGCATTGGGTTCTGGTCCCAGTCCTGCCACGTGGTTGCTGTGTGACTCTTGGCAAATTACTGTACTTCTCTGAACCCTGACTTTCCCTTTTGTAAAACGGGGCTGTGCCTGCCCCTCGGGACCCGGCGAGGACCCACAGGCTCCCGCTTGTAAAGCCCTGGCTGCTGCTGGCTCCTGATGTCCAGATGCTCGGGGAAGGAGACGGTGGTCGGGTCTACCTGCCTCTCCTCTTCCATAGGAAGCCGAGATCGACAGCATTCACCAGTTAGTTGTAGGGGCGACTGAGAATATCAAGGAGGGTAACGAAGACATCAGAGAGGTGAGTACCCTTGGGCCCCCCAGGCCCCACCGGCCTCCCCGTCCGGGCAGCGGTGGTAGTCTTGCGGGCAGTCAGGGCTGCGTGAGAGCCTTGCCGGGGCCCAGCCTGCAGGGCTGACCTCCTAACCGTACTGACCCCTAAGACAGTCACATTTCTGTCCTCGCCAAACCTGGGGCACCTGCTATTACCAAGACACAGGACTCACAGCCCTCCAAAGGAGCGATCGGAGGCACATGAGGTCACTCTTGGCAAGGGTTGGATCAGCCACCTGCACCAGGGGTGGGCGCCACCGGAGAAGCTTGTTGGACCCCCCACCCCGAGGGCCAGAGCCCTGGTCCCTGTTTATCGAGGCCACCACAGTGGACTCTGTTGAGTGGACGTGGTCTTCTGAGTGTGGTCCTCGGTTTGGGTTGACGTGGGACCATTCCTGGGCCGCTACAGCTGCCGGGCCAGCCGTGGGGCTCTTTTTAACCCTGGGCCCCGCGTGGGCCGTTTCCGGGTGTTTGCTGGGAGAAGGGTGTAGGACGTCTGAATAAGGGGGAGACGCCTGTTTGTTTTCTGGTGGATTCTAAACCCACTGTTTGGCTCTGCTTACTAATTAAGGTAAGCATAAGCTCCAGGGTAGGGAGTGCGTGCGGACACACGGAGGGCGTGAGCACTCCTCAACCCAAAATCCTGTGCTCCTGCCCTTCCCGCCCCCCAGGCCATCAAAAACAACGCCGGCTTCCGAGTGTGGGTGCTCTTCTTCCTGGTGATGTGCTCCTTCTCCTTGCTCTTCCTGGACTGGTACGACAGCTAGTCTGCCCTGCTCGCTCCTGGCGCATGGGGCGCTGTCGAGGGTCTCCGGCATCGGACCAGGGCTGTGCCCAGATCCTACCACGGTGGGGGGAGGGGGCGGTGGCAGAGCTACGTGCTCCCGCAAAAGGGACACCCAGACCTGTGGTCTTAGCCCGTTTAGTAGCTGAAAAAGAAACTAATGAACACAAATTGACAGCGGACTGCGTGGCACTCCTGAGGCAGGGTGGAAGAGAGGGGGGTCGTTACTGGCTGCACCCAAACTGGCGGCCCACGTGGAGGGGCTGCCCGGAGGCGGGGCTCAGGGAGGCACCGACCTGGCCCTTCCAGTGGCTTAGGGAGGAGTGCTGGGTGATAACTTCTCACGGCAAGTGACCATCACTTAGTTTCCTGTGGCTTCTTGTCTGCCTGAGCCAAGTGCTGCAGAGTCGCTGCGTTGTAGAAAACTCGCCTTTGCCTCAAATATAATAAATGCAACTACGGTTACTTTGTGTAATATCAGTGGGTCCAGATACAGAAGGTCAGCGGACGCCTGCCTGCCTATGGGGGAAGGGGTGTGGGGACAGACCCTGGGCCCTCAGCAAGGGGCTGCTGGGGCCCAAGGAGCATTTGTCTGCCCTTGGGCCCGTGCACCTGTCCCTCTAGAACAGGTGTTCCTGTTTGCAGTGGGAACCACATCTGTGCAGAGAGCATGCTGGTGTTCACGGGGCCCCACCTCGGTGTGGGTGCCGAGGGCTCTGCGTTGCCCCCTGCAAAATCGTGTGCTGTGTATGCAAAATCGAGTCTGTGGTGCAGCCACAGGGACCCTTGTGTTCTTTCTCTGCACAGAGTGAAAACGTCAAAAGTTACATGTGAATGCATTTACAGTCAATAAAGCGTCTACTAGAAAATACAAAGGGGTGATGCCTTAGCAGTGCGTTTACGCGGGCTAGAGCTTTCAGAGGTGTATCTGTGCGGGAGAGTTTGGCACGTAGTCAGTGCTTCTCGTGTGTGCTCACGTCACACCCTCACAGCACGCAGCTCTAGAACACGCGCCCCGGCTCCAAGGCCACGGTCATGGTTGCGAAACACCCTCCATAATAGAATCCGGTTCTGGAAGCATATTTCAGAAAGCAGTGATGGAGCTGGCCGTGGCCACCACGCTTGTTTGCAACAGATCTCAAACTCATTGCCATTTATTTTTGACCTACTGAAAACAGTGAAACTTCTGACACGTCCACCAGAAACAGCACAGATAACATGGAAGAAAATGTCTGCGGATGCCTGGTTTCCATTTAATGGTTTTACACACGTAGCTTAGCTAACTGGCAATTTTGTAAACATATCCTTTAATGTCAAGATTCAGCTTGAAATGTAACTTCTTTACAAAGATCGTGAATTGAAATGTCCTCAGTGGATCTGCAAGTTGCCACGCCAGCCCCTCCCAGCCTCCCCTGCCTGCTTCTTACATGAAAAGATTTCTAGTTCACAAAATAAAAATCAGTCTTGGCTTCCCAGCAATTACATTTTCACTTTGCCAACACAAATAAGGTCTTAAAAACTAACTCGCTAACAGGGCTGTTGGTGCAAATTTATTCATTAACAGGACAGAACAAAAAAGACCAAAGGGTGTCGCTCCTATTCAACACGTCACAGAGCAGACGGACTACCTACAGGGGCCTGGACTTCCTCAGTCCCGTGGCCCAGGGTCCTCCCACAGCCCCTCACCACACGTGCTGGGACACCGGACCTGGTCTACATGCGCCGGCCTGAAGCACGGTGCTCTCCGCACCAAGGTGCCAGCCAGCTCCAGGGGGCGGAATAGCGCCTCCCGAGCGGGCCCTCCTGCGGGACACTCGGCCGCTTCGGAGTGGGCGCGGGGAAGGGAAGGGCGCACCCGCCACCGGACGTCCCATTTCCTTCCTTCTCTGCACCTCTCACTGCCACACATCATGGTGATGGCCCGGCTGCCGCCTGATTGAAGGTGGGAAGAAATCTGAAGTACAGCTTGCTCTTAACCAAGTGGGGACCCGTCTAAATATGGCTGTGGAGTAAGGTTTGCAAACAGCAGTGCGGTGGGGAGGGGGAGGGCGATAAAAAAAATCGATTCCACGAAACGCATTATTTATCTGAATCCAAACCCCTTGCATATCCAGTGTAAATTTACTTTCTGATGGCATCCCATAAATCCCAGTAAAGCAGCTAAATTAAGATTCCTTTACATGGAACGTGGTGTCACAGCTCTTTAAGCAATGCTGATATGCACTTGATCTTATGCCCATGAGCGGTCGGCAGCAAGTTTTATTGGCAAAGCAGCATGAGCAAACAGAAGCGGTTGCACCATAAATGAGTAACCTCTAAATTATCGGTAATTATATTTAACGAAACGTCCCTCCAAGTCCCTTTGTTACCTTCGAGTGACACATTGTGAGGAACCTGCCCGTCTCACTGAGCTGACTTGTCAGCGGCTTCGGTCTCCTGCTCGGACAGCTTCTCTTCCGACAGAACCGACATCCAGGGTGAGACGGAGCGTGTGATGCTCTGCTTGGCCAGGTTGTAGTGGTTGATGACGGTGTAAAACTTCTCCCGGGCACTGGAGTCTTGCTCCGCGTAGTAGCTCTCCAAGCCTTCTGGAATGCACTGGGTGTTCTGAAAGACAAGGGGCCGTGGAGACACACGTCTCGATGCTGCGGGGGTGCCGGAGGGTCTCCGGTGAACACCCCCCAGTGTTTACGGGGACCTTCCCTGGGCTTAGAGGAGAAACACAGCCCAGCCACCACCTGCGCTGGTCCCACCGCGGCAGGACAGACCTCCTTAGCGAGGCCGTGACGCAGCGGGGCTTGGGCTGCAGGGGCACGATGAGCTGTCCTGCTTCGCTAAAGACCTTCCACTAGTTGTCATTTACGTTACATCTACCAGAAAATACTTTGGACCTGTCTGCTGGAAACACAGATAGTAAAAGAAGGGAAGTCAGGAAAACCTCCTGGGAGCTGGATCTTTAGTAGGCCTTCTCCAGAGGAGGGGGTCGGGGGAGGGCACGCCCTCAAGGCAGAGGAGATGGGCCTCACAGACAGGACAGTGCCAGCAGGGTGAGGAGGGCACTGGGAAGGACGGCCGGGGTCAGACGGCCACACAAGGGCTAGAAGTCCCGTCAGGGAGCTGGTGTGACCTTGTGACCCAGAAAGCAGGAGCCCAGACAGCAATACGGCGGGGCGGGGTGGGCAAGGGAGTGGGCTATCCCAGGCAGCTGTCCACGAAGGAAGAGGCTTTGTCCCTACAGGCCACGGAACCCTGAGGGGGCCTGGGGTGGGGGAGTCCAGTCCATAGCTCTCATCAGCTGGTAAAACGTCCAGGACCCCAGAGAGATCCTGCACCCAAGGCTGCCTTTGCTGGTGGGTCCAGGAGCCGACCCAGGCCACTGGGCCACCACAGCTGACGTGGCCCGAGCACACCATACACGTGCAGCTCACCGGGCCCACGAGTGAGGTGGGCGGGGCTGCGGATAATCGGCTTCCACCTCGCATTCTCCCGAGCCAAGCAGGCGCTTGGTGCCGAGCTAACGACTACGCTTCCCAGCCAGGCCAGAGGGACGGGCGTGGATGCCCACCCTCCACCTCTCCCGCGGCCCTTTCTCACTGGCTTTGACTGCCCAGAGGCGGAGAATGCCCTGGGGCGCTGGCAGGGCAGCACAAGACAGAATCGGGGCTCCAGGATGATCTCACAGAACCGCCTCCCCCCCTGCCTTCTGCCTGGAGCCTTCATGTGAGAGAGACGGACCTCCCGCCTCGTGGAAGCCACGTTACCTGTGTGTCTGAGCAACCAAAGCAATACACGAACGCCACGGCCTCTTCCTCAGTGAGGGGAGACCACAGCAAAGACGGGTGCCTGGACTTGGCCACCTCCACACTCACCAGGAAGAGTCTGAGGACCCAGGCTCTCTGCCCACCGCTAAGGGTCTGACTCAGCACCTCTGTATCCTTAAACCTCCCCAGACGATTCTGAGGCTCCGCATGCTGTACACGGTGTCTCGGCCAAGGCCGCCCCGCTGGCGGGTGCACCGCCCAGATCTGAAGCCCAGGCACCATCCACGGCACTCTGACCAGTTAACTCCTGGGGCTTCGCAAGACGCCCAGCGGTGCAGACCGTCCGTTCACCTCTCCTGGGCAAGCGCCTAGTGGAGAAGGTGACAGGATCTTTGATGACATCATCTCTGGCCACCTCGGGCCATCGCCAGGCCGACCGGCCACAGCTGCTGCACCTCAGACGTGGGCGCTGGGAGACACGAGTGCCGGCCCGGGATGCACCAGGGGAGCCTCCCCCTGGCCTGGGCCCAGCTCTTCCTCGGTCTCTAAAACCCAACGGCAGGTGAAGAAGGCTGCTCCTTGAGATCTGCCCGCAGATGTAACGCCCACCTGCCACTTCACCGGCAGCAGAGAAAACGGGACTGGGGTTTCGCCACCCATGCTTCCTCCTCCCAACCTTCTTCCTCCTCCCGACCTTCTCTCTGCACCTGACAGCTGGCCAGGCGCTTCCCATGCACGTTCTCTCGCTGCGAGGCAGGTGCCGTTAGCCCCGTTTTCCAGCCGGGGCAGATGAGACCCAGAGACGCGAAGGCACAGCAGAGTGCCCAGCGCCCCACATGGTGTTGCCGTGGGAGGCCACCAACAGGTGACCCGCTGGACTCCCGAGTCGAGAAGAGTGAGAAGTGAAACAGTCTGCCCCAGGGCCGGCGGGGCAGAACGTTCTTTTCCCAGAGCCCTGGCAGTGTCTGGTTCAGCCAGAGCTCAAGCCCCAGCTCGGGCGCAAACAGGCCTCGGGAACGCGGCTCGGCTCCCCGCGCCCTGCCTGCACTACCGGCTCAGCCTTCGGCACCTTCACAGGCGAGCGACACACTGTGACGTCGCCCTCTGAACCCCGAGGCCTCCGCAGTGGGCGGCTCCACACAGCCCGGCCCCTGCTCGGTGCCAGAAACAGCAACACAGGTCAGAGCACACGACTTGTGCAGAGAGAGCAGGGATGACGCCCCCGTCACAGAAAAGCTCCCGCCGCTCAGACGTAGCGGCCGCTCGTGATCGGAGTCCCTCTCCGCCCGGATGGCTCTCCTGGGATGCCGGCCTCATGTCTAGGACGAGGATGGCTGGGGGTCGGCTCTCCCTCGGGTGGGCTGTCCAGCAGGGTCAGGAGCTGTGCCAGGCACCAGGATCACCAGAAGGAACACACCAGAGCCCGGGCCACGGGCCCTACGCTACCTACTAGCCCCCGTGCCCCTCCCCGGGGCCTTCACTCAGGAGACCCGGGCTGTGCTCCTCCGACACCGAGAAGTGGCAGGTCTGGCCCCTCAGCGGAGCGAGGTCGGGGCCTCCTCGGTGTGGCTGCTGACGGATGGAGGCTGTCGTGCCTGGTCCGGTGCCCGGCCCACGAGCTACCGTTTCATCACTGCTGGGTCTAGGAAGACAGCGAAGGGGTA